GTTGCCAATGAAAGGCGGTGCTATTTCTTCTCTTTTTGGGTTCTTGATGTATTGAGAAGGAAGGAGGTGTAAAGGGCCACAGATTGGATGAATATGAGGCTCAGAGTACAGATATTGTTCCTTCATTCTTCTACTTGGGGATTCTCTAGAAAACAATTGGTTTTTAACAATAGTTTTTTTAACAATAATTACCTGTTCTACAAAATTTCATTGCAGTTACTTCCTGAGAGAGACCCAGACATGGCCAAGTGTCTGTTCATAGACCCCAGCACAATGCTGGGGGGTGTTGAGAGGTGGCTGAAGCAAGGCAGAGGGGGAGGAAAAGTTCTAAGACTAATTGATAGTAGGCCTGATCTACAAAACCTTCAGGCTGTTGGTGTATTTTTGTCAGCTAATTATGAGTACATTAATACCTTCAGTGTAAGTATGTAATCAGTCAATTGCAGGGACTTAAGTACCCTCTTTTGAGCATATATTTGATGAATAAGTGGAGTGTGTATTTCCTTTTTCTGCCAGTTCCCAAACTGTTTTTTTTAAGGGATCACCAATACCATTCTAAAGGAAATTCGCCTTTGTCTATCCTTACTATTCCCTGAACCTTTGCTGTTGGCCACAGTCAGGAGACAGAACTACAGAGTTCTGTCAGATACCTTCAATTAAGTCCAGGCTGGCAGTTCTATGTTCTTGGCACTCTCTGGTGGATTAGTCACTGCAGGATGCCCCAAATATACCATCATGGCAGACTGGTGAAAAGGCTATAAACTAATTTGTAATGTAGAGCTGTACTTTGATAAAGTACTCACTTGAGCAATATCAAAGAGCTCCCACTACCTTCAAAATTCTTTTCATCCTCACTAATATATTAGGGCATTTTTTCCTAATTTTCCTTTCCATGCTTACTGACTCCTGTGAAACTTAGAAGAGTCAATTATGGTCCATTTGTTGTCTGCATTATTTTCACTGGATCATTGATTTATATTCACTATATCAGATTTCCATTAAAGATGGTATTTCTAAATATGAGCCATGAAACTGCCTCCTGACACAATACCACAGAGGCCATGAAGCTCACTTCTGATTAAATTTTAGAGATTTGGGGTTTCTTCCAGAGAAGCAATTATGTATTCCAGGATTGCCAATTTCATTTGAATTTATTACAGACATTATGCAAAACAAATTGTAGAAGTAATGCAGAAGTTCCAGTGAAGGAGAAGGTGAACTTCTTGACTGCAAATTGAAAATACAGTTACAGAGAAGTTCCCCTTGAACATGGAGTCCTTTCCTTCTTCTCTCTTAGGAACTTTCCAACAGCTTAGCCAAAGGGACTGGCTTCATTGTGTTTTGCCCCATGACAGTTCTTTTCAGAGATTACTCGTAGGTGCATCCCCAGTCTGCTAGCTGTTGCTTTTGTCTACTGAGATTTCCAACATGAATTTGGGTTGTTTTAATAATTATTTTTTTCTTGTTTGTTTTTAGTCCAATTAAAATGAGATTCTAGTGACTCAGGTCTCTTCTATGTATTATTTCTGTTTCCCTGGAGATTGGTTTCATGTTCTTGACTAAAGAACATGAGACTCATGGCTTAGTTTTAAAGATTATTTAATATAAATGTAAAAATCAGGAGTTGCACTTGGCAAACTTTATACAATATTTCAAAGTTATAGTACTATTTTATTACTATTTTATTATATGCATAACATAATATTCACATTACATCTTTCTGCTGCAGTCCACATAGATCAATAACATGGATGAAAAGCTTTGAATTTTGAATGCATCATCTAAAATATTTTTCACTATTCTTTGTAAGTTTTAGGGACCCATGCCATTGCACCTGCATTTGAATTCTTCTGATTATAGGGAACCTTGTTTGCTAAAACAATGAGAGAAATGTGTTCATTTATCATTGCTTGTACTCAGAAGAAGTATGATTGACATTCCTGCAGGTATCCTGGCAAGCTAAAAGGTTTCTTACAGCTAATAGGAGGGACTAAGATTCATTTGAAGACAGAAGGGTTCTATTTTTCCTAAAAACAACTTTTATTTTCTAAATTGGGGATTGCAGATTTCAAGATTTTCTAAGCCCTCTGCTGACCTTGAACACTTCCTGCAATAATGGAACCAAAGTCTGCAATAACAAGCCTTACATACTGCTTCAGCATCACTTACATATTCTGTACTTTTGGCTTCCTAACATATTCCTTTAAAACAGTGTATGCAGCTGTGGTTTAACCCCAGCCAGCAACTCATCCCCAGACAGGTGCTCATTCACTCCCTCACTCACTGATGGGGGAAAGAATCAGAGGGTAAAGGTGGCATAAACCCAGAGGTTGAGATAGAGACAATTTAAAATGCAAAGAAAAAGCTGCATTCTAAAGTAAAACAAAACAAGAATTAATTCCCCACTTCCCATGGACAGGTGTTCAGCCACCCTCAGGAGAGCAGGGCTCCATCAGCTGGGACCCAGGGAGATAAATGCCATCACACCCCTGCTCCTTCTCCTCCCCCCCAGCTTTATGCAATGAGCACAATGCCACATGGGCTGGGATATCCCTCAGGTCACTTGGGATCAGCTGTCACAGCTTTGTCCCCTCCCAACCTCTTGTTCCCCCCCAGCCCCCTCACTGTTGGGGTGGGGTGAGGAGAAGGAAGGACTTTGGCTCTGTGCAAGCCATGCCCAGCCAGAGCTAAAATATCCCTGTATTACCATCACTGTTCCCAGCACAAACCCCAAACACAGCCCCATACTAACCATAAGTTTTGCTTATAAATTGTCCAACTCTATGCATGCAAATAATTGTCCAGCTCCACTACAGAGCTAAAGAGAGGATAAAATATGAGTAATCATTTTTTTATCCATAAACAGAGGATCCATAAAAAGTTACAATTAAAGCAAATAATAGTAAAAGGCCAGATTATCTTCCTTCTCCATTTATACATATATATATATATATATATATATATATATATATACACACATATATAGATTAATCATTCAAAGCCTCCAGTTGTTTCTCATTGTTTTCCAGAGAAAGAAGAATAACTGTTGAGATGTTAATACGGCTACATATCACTGTGTGTATGCACACATAATTATAGAAATCATTGTATATGCAGACCTTACATTCTAAGGGAAGATAAATATATGTAAGATTAGTAGAGCACTTGATTTATTCTGAAGGTTATCAAATCACACAAAGTTACCTCATATCTGATGGGAGGGGTAATAGAATATACTGAGTTGGGAGATAGCCAACAGAGCAATTGGTAACAGTAACTTCTTGATCTTCTTTATTATTATAAGTATTTGTATGATTGTGTCTGTAGAAGGGTGAGAAGTTTGGTCATAGCCCAAGAAATACTGTGAGTTGTGAAGAGGAAGTTGTAAGAAAAGAGGTTTAATGGCCTGCAGAAGGAAAGGATCTCTGGGCAAAGACAGCAGGAGTGGTTGGAAGAGGTAGAATAGACTGTGGGGACTGCAGCTTTAGCAAGACAGAGACAAGATTTAGCTGGAAGCAAGGAGGGGGAGCCAGCACCATGTGACTCTCCTGCCAGTGTTTGCTGCCACTGGTGTTGCAAAAGAAATCTAGGAATAAAATTTCATTTGAGGCAGAATAATTTATCTAAGTCATGATCTTGGCATTTGGTGGAGATACTATAATTATAAAAACTTGATCAGATCTTCCAGTAAGAAATCCTGTACGATGACAAGTAATATTCAGGTCACACTTCTCCTTTGAAGTTTTAATGGCCACTACAATTTTATGTTAGTCACTCACTCATGTTTGAAGTAGGCGTGCAAAGCCTTGGCTGTCTCCATTTGTCTATAACTACTTTAGAAGCTTCTGAAGGCACTGAACTCATAAAACTGCAGGCTTCAAAGAGCTTATTCAAAGATTCCATTCTGCTGCTGCCATTTATCAAAGGGACACTTTTAAAATATATAGCTCTTTATAATAAAATATTTTTTAAAATATAAACCTGACAGTGGGGATGATTAAAACAAAATCTCCATTGGCTTCAATGTCAGCGGAACTGAGTTCCATAGCTTTAAATATAATATATAGAATTCTACAAATAATATTATAGTCAAGTAAGTTCCTAATATAATGAAGCACAATTCATTTTCCCCTCTTTTTATTCCCCCCCCGCCCAATAATTTTTTGGAGCTTCACTGTATGTTTAACCTTGAACTTTAAATCAAATTTTAAATTCTACCCCACAATACAGAAAAGGATTGTCTCTCCTAAAGAAAATAGAAACTCACTGTTTCTAAGTAAAATTAATTCCATTTTCTGATGCAAATCTGAAGGGTCAGTAGAATGTTAATGTTAGATTATAATTTATTTTTAAAATAAATCCTAATATATTTTATCCTGTCATTTATCAATTCCATGATAGATCTGTCTGAGTTCTAGTACATGATTCTAGATAAATCACATGACATAACATTGAGTTATTTTTTTATCCCATTTAAACAAGAATATCAATACTTACCTACATGACATTCATAAGACATGGTCTCCTGTCCAATCCTGTTCCCCAAAACACAGCAGGAGACTTTCCATTGACTTTATTAGATCAGCCCTTTAACTCCTCAGCTTCTGTAAAGTATCATGGTCTGTGGGGAAAGTGGTAGTTGGTGTCTATGGAATGGGTAAGATATCAGCTACAAATGATTTTAGAAGTGCATTTTTAGGGTTCAAAAGTACTCCTACTCCTTCCTTAATCCAGCTCAGTTGCTTGTTTTGTTAGCTCCAAGAGAGGACATCATAACATCACATCTGTTGCCATGGGAATGACTGTGATTTTGCAAATTCAGCTTTGTGTCTTCATGAAATCAGGCAGAACAAAAGAAATGGGCAATAGGGGGAAAGCCCTATTGTTTAAGAACAAGGACAATTTGATTCTAAATTCAGGCTGAAGCCCTTTGTCTTTATTGGGGTAACTCCCCATCGAGCATCTTTTGAAGTTACTCCATTTCTGCTGTTACTTCCAAGGTTTCCCTGGTTGCTTTGGGAAGGGAATTCCACAGCTAGTCTGCTTGAGCACTGCCTGGCAGAGTGGCCTGATTGACTTCCTGGACTCATAGTACAAGTAAACAAAGGTAAAATAATGAGATTGCTAACACAGGTAATAGCACCTCACTTTTCCTAGTCTGGAGTAATTCCCCCATCTTTCCAATTACAAATTTCTCTGGTTTGGATAACAATCATTTTTCTAAAATAAAATTATTACTATTTAAGACTAAAATTCTCTATGACAGATAATATACTGGAATACTTAAATGACAAGAATCTGGTAGATTCCCTGTTTACATAAAACTTCAGAATCTGAACTTTTTAAACAAGTGTGTCAAGCTTTTTTTTTTGCCTTTTTTTTTTTTTTCTTTTGCAGTAGCATTGCTGCTTTATCTAAATTAACAGCAGAAGAAATTTGAGGGTTGCACTACATCTACCAATCATTGTTCCCAAAGTGTTATCTTGAATTCCAAGCTATTCCTGGAATACATAGTCCTGCTTGGAAAACCATGACTCTGTTAATGGCCTGCTTTAGAAGTGACACAATTGCCAATCAATAAAAATTGGCATGGATAATATTTGAGAAATACAGACAATTCATGGTCTCCATAGTGCAGTTCTGAAATACCAGGGTAAATTATGGGCTTTCTGGAAGTGTTGTACAAATTTCTGTTTCATCTTTGCAGAACCATTTAGGAAGGTCAAAATAATGACATAGTGCTGCACTTAATGTTTTTGACTGGACTTGTGCATAAGTAAAAGAGTTCACATCTCTTTGGAGATGGATTTGAATGCTTTTTTTTTTGCTAAAAATTTAGAAAACTAAATTCCCTGAGACTTACAGTCTTGCTTTCAAAATAATTTTGACAAACTACTGGAACTCGAGGTCTTTTTCCTACACACACAGTGAGACCCTTTATAGTAAAATTGAGGTATTTATTCAAAAATCCAAAGTTCTGAATTCTGTAATAATCCATGAAAGCCCCTCTCTGGGACACTGACAGTATTGTGAATGCTGAATGCCCACCCCTACTTCCCCCTCTCCACATGTTAAACTGAAGATGTGTGATAAACTCTGGGGTACAAGATCTTGTCACTTTGATGAAAAATCTGAGGTGGAATTTATAATCTATTTCTTACAGAATTTGATGACAAAGGTGGGTTTTTTTTAAGTTTGGAGTTACCCAAACCTCCTCAGATGTCCTCAGATGCTCCATGCAGTTGCAGTGTGATGTTGGAGGTGTGGATGTGCCATAGCCGGGCACACTTTCAAGTTCTCCAAGTTCCTGAAGTCCTGTCTGAAAATCAACCTATGCATTGTGCTGCCTCAGGTAAGACCAGGAGAGCACAAGGACTGATTCCTTCTCTGGAGGCTGTTGCAGTTTAGACCTTTACAGAGTCAGACAAACAATAGGATTGTGATGTTTTTGTTCATTTCCTCCCATAGCAAACAATGTCTTTTCAACCATCAGTCATAGAATAGAGTTCTGAAATAGTGCCAGAGGTGGGACCTTTTACATTTTTTCTACAGTGATTTGAAAGGGAAATGTATTTCAAGGCACCTTTGATCAGCATTATTACTTGGCAAAATATTTTTTCTCTATAATAAACTGTTGAATAACAGCATTGATTTTTATGGTTTAACCTGGCTAATGAATTTGTGTAATGTGAGGTTGATCAAACCAAAATATTTATGGTAGACAGAATAAAGAGGCCAAAGCAATTATTGCAGTAAATTGACTAAATATTTTGAGGGGCTACTGAAAAATTCTTCTGTCCAAATGGTAGGGTTAGCAAACAGGTACAGACTTGTACTGCAGTCCTTAGAAATGTACACCTTGACACAACTGCAGAAAACAAAAATGTAAAAAGAATGAAAAATAATTTTTCAAAAATATGGAGCAAGTATAAAATATTTCAAAACTGCTCCATGAAAGGGGTGCAATAGTGTGTCTAGCTAAGCTGGCATAATGGTATCAAAACTCAGCTTCAATTTTGCTGTTTATTTCAAGCCCAAAACCACTGTATAGCTGGATTTTCTCATTTATAGCATTTTTTCTAATAAATTGTACCACCTTTTTTTCACTTTATATGATTTAATTATATAGTATAAACATGCACCACACAGGAAAAATTATTGAACTGTAAGAGCAAAGCCACATCTGAACAAACAGCTTGAGGACAAAGCTGTGATCACATGGGAGCAGTTCTCACTGAGGCTCTGAATATATTTTCAAAGCAGGATTTTGTACCTGATTAGTTGCCATATTTAAATTTCCAAATAAATATTGGTATTCAGTGAAAGATAATTACGAGAGACATTATGAGTCTGAACACAGTGTCAAAAGCAAAGGCTATGCTTGTTTAACAATGTAAACAAAAAGAGAACCCTTATGTCTGAAACACTTTGAATCACATCACAAGAAGATGAAAATGGCACTTGAAATGATGCAACAGGGATCCAGTGTGAATCTGGGTGGAATCTTTGATGCAGAATCAAACTATCAACTCTGTTCATTGGGTAGACTTTCTGTGCTGATCAGGATTTGAATGCTATTCTTAAATCTCATAAGAACTTTCTGAAGTTCTTCGTGTGTTTTTTAGCAAAAGATAACACATTGACATAAATTGTGCTGAACTGTTAACACCAAGAGAAAGCTAAGTTGTCAAAATCATACTCACTGAATAAGTTCAGACTTCTCCTAAGGTAAAAGCAACTCACTGTTGAAAAAACAAGGTGAAGACACAAAGATAATGGCAGATAACCCAAGTGCATTTTGAAATGCAGGAGTGTTGTTATTTAACTAATAAAAAAAGGCATTACTCTGAGTAGAACCAACTTAGTAAAGGAGATCCAGAAGGGTTACATCCATTCTTAGCAGATATTTTCTCACATTTTTCTCTTTGGCCTTAACTGAGCCAGTTAAAAGCCATCAAAATGCCCCAAACAGAATATTTAGAAGAAGTGATTATCTCTGGACTACTTCTCTGAAGTAAAACTTATTAGTCTCATAGTCTGAGAGACAGCCTGGACTCCACATCTCAGGGACCAAATATCAGAAAAGGATTAAAAAACTATATAGAAGTTGTATTCACTGGAAAATTTATCAGAGCACCAAAAGGAAGTTGCACATAAGGTGAACCTTTAAAAAGAGCCATTCCATGCTGAGGTACGTGGGCAGCTGCTGGTTTCACATTCCTGTCAGGCTGAAGCTCAGGGACATGACTGGCACGGGAAAAAAACTTCTGGAAGTTACAGAAACAAATGATTGATTATTTCTTAAATCTGAAAAAGAACAAAAATCCCTCAAGAAGTTTGTATAGCATGAATCTTTCTACCAGTGATCAATTCTCATCTTAAATACTGAACTAGAATGGAATATGCTGAATAACAAAGGTTCATCCCAATTTGGCCAAGATGGGATTCCATACAAGTTTATAGATAATGTATTACAAGTTGCAACTGCCTCAATTTTGTAGTTCTCTATTAAATCAATGGCACACCCTGGCTTTTATGGCCACAAGTACTAAGAGAAAATGAAGCATAAATTCCAGAGAAATTGGTTAAAAAAAAAAAAAAAGGATCAACAACATAAGAGCTTTTTATTAAAGAGTGTCCCTTAGTAGAATTACCAGACCTGAGACCTGTGGATGAAGGAAAAGAAGTTGCAAATGCCTAACAGAAGCAAGAGGTCCTCAGATGTCATCACCACAGACCAAAAACAGAGTGATAAGAGTGACCCATATTTCTAACTGGGAAAAAAACGAAAACCCAAGATAAATATCAGACAGTGTTTGCTAGCCCAAGGTAGATAGCAGTCTGTTCTTATAAAAGTCAGGTACTGTCATTCACTCCTTTGTCAGTTTCACAATAAATATTGAGGCTCATCAGACAAAACTCATGACAGCCTATCAGGGCATAGACAGGATGAGCAAGAGGTTATTACAGCTATTGGAAGCACTGCTATTGGAGACTGCTTTTTAGTCCTTCTCTTACACTAAGCGTTTTTTATATTTGCCTATCCAGTTTGCCAATTTCCTATCCACCACTTTCCCATTCTGTTAAATATTTTGGGAATGCCCTGAGGTTCCCCTTTCCTTCATTGTGTCAAACACTATGAAGGAAATCCTCCCAATGCCTGGACATGGCCAGATCTGAGTTCTTCCTTCCAGCCCCACAGGGATCTTTCCATGCCCACACCACTCACTCTTCACACTTTATACATGTTGGACCCCAATGGCTTCTTCCCTCCACACTCCTTTCACACCATTATTAATTCTCCCATTTCTAAAATGGGAAGACAAGCAGAGATGAGATATTTTGTTGTCACACTGCATGCTGCTAATAGCTTTGATCTGTGGACAATTACAGATCCTATTGTAGCCCCTGGATCTGCTCAATATCTGAGTTTCATATATTCCCTGTTTAGCTTTTTTTCTCATTTGATTCTGCTTAAATCTGTAAATACCTATGAATTTATGCCTAGGACATTCTTTGAGAAATAGTGGAGCTGATTGGATGTATTATTCAAAAGTTTCCATGTTACAGCCTAAAAGACAAATGACACCAACCTGAGAATAAAACCCTGCTCCATTTGGCTCCCTGTTATCTGCAGTAGCTTTCCTGGGGTGAGCTATTTGGAGGATGTACAGAAGCATGTGTGACTTTCATGTTGCTATTAAGGTGAGGCCATTGTGCCAAGAGCTGTGACGAGTTTTCATAAAGATAGTTTGAAAAGACAAAACCAGGACACTGCCTTTGCTTCACAGGTGGGTGAAAGAAGGCAAGGGGCACAGCCAGAGGAACTAGGAACCAAGAACAGCCAGCCAGAGAAAGTTCTGTGATCAAAGTCCAAGAAAAGGTTTTTTTTTCATGAAATTTGCCATTAGAGATATTGAGGAGGCCTATGTATTAAATTCCTGAGTTTTGAGGCACCGTAATAGAGCTGTCAAACAAAGATATAGAAAGTGCCACTGTTTCCACGAGACATGACAAGCTAAGGATTCCCAACAAAGTAAGGCCACCTGAAGAGGGATAATGAAAGTGATTACATCAGCAAAGAGGAAGGAACAATCCAGGTAAAGAGTTGGTGGATGTTTGATCTTGGAGGGTTGCTGTTACCTCCAGTGCAGTCATCCAAAGCTGTCTAAAAATTAAATAGGCTAAAAGAACAAGAATGCCTAGGATTTCTTCCAGGAATTTCTGTAGTTACCTACTAGGCATCAAAGGAGACTTCTTTTGAACCTTCAAATATACAAGGAGGTCACATGCATTAGTGACTGCAGATTTGGTAACCTATTATTCATTATTTTCTTTTATTGATTGTTTTACAGTCCCCAAGGCTTGTGTGTTGCTTTCTGTGCCACCAAAAAAAAAAAATCTGTAAAATCTTGAGGTTTTTTACAGGAGCGACAGCAGCTGTCTCTCCTTGTTAATGACAATAGCAGTGTATATTTTTTCCCTAATAACTCTAATTAGGAGGTCTCACATGAATATTAAGTCAATTTTTTATAATGAATGATGTCTTGTAACTGGAAAAAAAATTAAAAAAAGACAGGTTGACCTAAGATAATTTCTTATTTAAAGATGACCTTTAAAAATGTAAAGTTGCAACAAATTAATTACCTGGCTTAACCACTTTGTTAATTTTTTTAAAAAAGAAAACATGATAACATGCCATATTCGAGTTATGCTGGCATCTAGGACAAAGAGACAAGCCAAAACAATGATAAAATTGTGGAAAAGTAAGGTATCACCCACAGATATAACTAGCCACTAATTAAACAGATGCAGTTAGAAAAATAATCTACTTGTTTTATAACTCTAGGTGGCAGCAGTGGAACAAAATAGAGAAAATGTATGCTCATGATTATACTTGCTCCCTGTTAATACAGAATCCATTAATTAAATAGTGCTGATGCTGTTGCATGACACGGTGTCACTTTTACACTCTAGATGGCAGCAGCAGCACAAAATACTGAAAAATAAGATTAATTGTATTCATGCTGTGTCTGAGAATGCAGCCCCTTCAAGTTTTTGGAGGTTAAAGTTGGAGAGGTCGAAATGCAGATTTCCTGTAGGCATATCCCAGCACAAAAGAAGAAAAAAGCCCTAACAGTGACTGTTAAATATCATGTACAATTAGAGGTAAATCACTTCTGAAGTAATGCAACATTTTGCCATTCTGGGTTTTCCTAATGGAGAACAGATGTGCAGAAAACATAAATGACAGCACCTCTGCAGGTGAGTGTAGTACAGTGAGCCTAAAAAAAATCTGTGCAGGTGCATACCTGTCATGCTTTTGTGCATTTGGAGAATTACAGCTTTTGC